ATCTACTTCATGCTGTTTGGCTCGCCTTATCTACATCACTTAGAGATCTCAAAAAGACTGGTTTATTCGTCTGATATGAATAATAGAAAGGCATACCATCTTTTGTATATAAATAAACATTCTTCAACTGTGATTGAGCATATTTCAACAAATTTAAATTATCTTTTGTTAAGTCTTCTCTTATAATAACATTTGAGCAATCAACTTGATTTAAAAGTGTACGATTTGAATAAAAATCTTCTCTTGCTCTATAAGATGTAAATCTAACAAGTAGTGCCCGATGTTTAATTTTTTCACTTTGACTCTTATTCTTTTGTTCTTGTCTGAATGAAATCAATGGTCCAACTCGATGTGAACGTGATAAATCAGCCACACCAATTGGAATGTCTAATTTCCGAGCTAAATCTAGCACAATGACATCAGTTGAATCTTGAGATTTTTCTGGTATACCAAAAATACGCAAGTTAAGCCTTCTATCATATTGTTCTACATGATTTAATTTATCTTTGAAACCAGTTTCTTCCTTTTGAATTTTTTCTGAACATGCTTTCATTACCGCAATCATTTCACTCTGTTTAATCACAACATTATCTAATTCATCAATTTTTTTTGTTAGCCTTTTCATATGTTCATCTTGTTCATTAATACGTATATTTAGTCCATCAAATATTGTTTGCATTTGTTGAGTCAACGTATCAATAAAAGTCGATGAATTTATAACAGCAGTTATTATATCCTTCAAATGATATTTTGATGATTTGAGTATTCCTTCATCGGATTCTAGATTATTCAACATTTAACCAACTTTTATCCCGACACACAACTAGTAGCTTTATAAAGAGAGAAGAACGAACAGTGTTGACAGGATGAAAGAAAAAGTTAAACTCAAAACTAAGGTCTTTATGTCTGGAGGAAATGAACGTTCCTTACCAGGCTTCTGGCTCACGGTTGTCTTGCTTGTATCGGGTTCTGGTTCAACGTAATGATCAACCCACAAGTCTTCATAGTTTAATGTTTCTTTTTTAGACTTTTCTGTCTTCTCGTTACATTCTGTATCTGTTTCCCACAAATTGCGTATCGTTCTACTTTTTCTTTTGATTTTCGGAATCCAGCTTAGTTTGTCATTACTCTTTTTGGATTTAGAATTACTTAATTTACTTGGTGTATCTCTTGCAAACACACTTACTTCTTTAATTCGATTTAGACTTAATGGAATGTGTGAATGTCTTCTTCGCTATTAGTTTTTGTATTCTCTCTCGGGTTTGATAATGATCTTGCATTTCTGCTTGTCATGTTTCCTAACTGTATATACTTGTTTTTGATCAAGGAATATTTCTTCTGACAGAGAGCGTACTCGGAGCTTTCAAAGTTTGGTGCTCGGGCTTAGTTTTAGGTGAGGGTAGATGAGTGTGGCTCTTGTCCTGAAATATTCTCCTTCTTTAAAGAAAACTTGTTTACTTACAGTTTTGCTTGGAACACCTTGTTGATAAAGCAAAAATAAGATTTTTTAAAAAAAAATTTTTATTTTAAATTATAAACAAAATATATTTCGACTATTTCAGTAGTCTTCGTCAGTTGAGTGTATGTGGTCAGTTCAGTGTAGTAGTGGTCTTATATAGCTTGCTGAACAAAGGTACGATGGTTATCATTTTTCTCCTTTTGTTTCACTATCTTCGCCGTCGATCATCTTATTCTTTTTCTGTCATTTCATCTGGCCCAGGTTAGGTATTTGGTAGTTGGTGGGTGGTGATGGTGGTGGGATGTCTTCGGTTTGGTTTTCCATTCTAAACAGTGAGAAACAGGGTTTATATTGGTGTCTGTTTGTCGCTGACTAACGGTATTACGGTCAGCTGTG